TATATATATATATATATATATATATATATCCCATCATATATGATATAATAAATGTAGATAAATAAATAAATAAATCATGCCGCTTAATTTGTAATGTTTCGATCTAACTTTTTAGAAGTTAAAATTATAATAATTTTTATGTGATATGAAAGATGTGAGTGTTTTATATGTAAAAAATACAGCTTAGGTGCTAAATATGTAAATATATAGGAGTTGGATGCTGCATATGTAAATAGTTCAATAATTTATTAAGTTTGATGGTGTAAATTCATGAGTTTAAGGGCTAGTTTGGGGCAGCCTATTTGGTGCTGTGGCATTTTAAAAACACATATGCCCTGTTTGGGTAAACTGCGTTTTGACAGCTTATACGTTTTTAAAATGCTGAAAACAACATTTTCACACCGCTCCTATCTAGGTGCAGTGACAGTTTTCTTGCAATGGTTTGACTTTTCCAAAAAAATAAAAAATTTATAATAATCACCATAACTAGCTAATCAGCAAATCATTTTTTATCAGCTTATCAGCAGATTATTCAATACATTGCAGCTGCTCTGTGCTTACCTTTCTGGGGAAAAAAATATTCTGAATCATTTATATGCATATCCCACAAATTTTTATAATTTTACATTTAATATCTAAAATTAGATATTTATATAAATAATACTCAAATACTTAAATATTATATTAAAAATATCACTATGATAAATTCTTTAGTATTTAAATACACATTTTCATGCATATTTAAAATATTAGATATTTATATTTAAAGTTTAAAGTATTAGATATGTAAATATATAAGAATTGCGTGATATGTACATAAATTTTCTTTTATTTTAGGGTGATTTATATGCATACCAGTCCATTCCTATATATTTACATTGTAATATGTAAACTTCAATTTTCTTGCATTCATGCCCTCTTAACTACTAATGAAAATTTATATTTCACTTTTTAAATTTTAAAATAGGGATATTTTAATATAATTTAAAATTAAAATAGTGATATTTTTATTGATGTAAAATATTTTGGGGTTATAAATATAAAATGTAAAACGGATGTGTTTGGGGCAGCTTGTGCGTTTCAAGATAAACAGCTTATCTTCAAACGCGGACCCGCGGGCCGCGTCGACTGCAGGGGTCGACCCGCGGTATGTAAATGCACTTAAAATGCTTGGCTTGATAAGTAGCTTTTGAAGTGCAAGTCAAGCTTAAGCAAGCCCCGACTCGACGCATTAGTTCATGAGCGGACTTGTTTAAGAAAAAAAATATTAAAAAATAAACATAAAATATATTAAAAATCAAGAATATATTTTTTTAATTATTTAAATTGTTTTAAAAATTATATTTTACATTTTATATCAAGTTATTTTCATGTTTATTTCCTAAATATTTATTTTATTTGTCATTTTATTATAACACTAGCTAAAATTAATAATTTTTTTTTTCTCTTTCATACTAAATAAGTCAGCTCAAACTCGTAAAATTAAGCATAAGCTCGAGTTCGATTTATTAATCAAGCTCAAGTCTAGCATGGCTCGAGCTCGACTTGACTCGTTTACACTCCTAGGTTACATACAGCCCATTCAATACATATAATTTTACCTATACATGAAAAGATGATTCGATTTTTAAAAGTTAAATTGGCGGTATTTTTAATGTGATACGAAAAAATTCGAGTGATTTAAATATAAGAAAATTAGCTTTCGGTGTCGATATGTAAATACATAGGAATTAGGTGGTATATATGTAAATGCTTCTGTTCAATAGCATAAAAGATAAAGCATTATATTTAAATTAATACGAATTAAATACCATTCAACAATAAAAAAATTGATTTTTTTTTATCAAGTTAAGTGAGAGAGAAGAATGGTATATCAAGTTTGAACTGTACTTTTAATTCAAATTGAGCGAGAGAGAAGAATGGTAATGAATAGTAAAACATGTTATCAAGTTAAGTGAGAGAGAAGAATGGTAATGAATAGTAAAACATGTTCTCTATCGTGCCACTTTTTTCAATCCTCGTGCAGTCATAAAATGATCTCCTTATTTATAGGGGGAGAGTACAATGTGGTGATGTTACATTTTTGCCTCTATTTTAAGAAAAAAATAGTACATCAGGACTCCGCGTGCAGAGCTGCTTGCGGAGTCCAATCTCGAGCTGACATGTGGAAGGTCGGGACCCACCTAGATAAAAAATGAAAAAAAGAACAAAAACAAGAGACCCGGTCTGACTGATGCTTTACTTACTCTTGCCGATGCGTTATAGGAATATTCAATTGCGTTATGTATATTCCTCCGCGTTATAGAGCCTTGCCCATGTGTTATAAGAAAATATTTTCTAAATTATTTATCATCGCCGCCGTGTTATAGAAATATTTCATTGTGTTATGTTGATTATTTTTTGTATTATTCATGTGTTATTAAGGTGATTTTGAGATGTTATTGTTCTTTAGACAACAATATCAACTCAAAATCACATCCATTACACATGAATAACAAATTAGTAGAAGTTTTCATCTTGTCATTGGATTGTTTCATCTCAATAACACATTAATAACACATGAATAACACACTAATAACACATTAAAAATAGTGACTGAGGTGATTTTGAGATGTTATTATTTTTTGACTGAGGTGATTTTAATAGTGACTGAGGTGATTTTGAGATGTTATTATTTTTTAAACAACAATACAAACTCAAAATCACGTCTATAATAAATGAATATCACATCAGTAGAAATTTTTATTTTTTCATTGGATTGTATCATCTCAATAACACATCAATAACACATCAATAACACACCAATAATACATTAAAAACAGCGACTGAGGTGATTTTAAGATGTTATTGCTCTTTAAACAACAATAATAACAAACTTATTTTCATTACATAATAATAGAATATCAGTACAAGTTTTAATCTTATCATTTGGTTGAATCACCTCAATAACAAACCACTAACACAAGAATAATGTAGAAAATATTCAGAATAAAGCGAGGGAATATTCCTATAACGCATCGGTCGTGTCGGGTTGCATATTTTCGTTCTTTTTTTTCAATTTTTATGGAAGTGGGCCCTGATTTTTCACGTGTTAGCTCGAGATTAGACTCCGCAAGCAGCTCTACATGCGGAGTCCTGATGTAATGTTTTTTCCCACTTGATATTCTTGGGGTTTTACATACATGAGTATATCGTTTGGCTGCTCTCTGATTCGACCAATTGAGCTTGTTTGACTTTAGGT